AATAAAATTTATCGGACCACTTTTCCTTCAAAAAATAGCCCTGATTGAAAAGAGCTGATAGAGCTTAAATATTTGAGTCGTCAACTACAACAATGTCTAAAATTGCGTTTCGAAGGAGATATGTCTTTAAAATTTTCCAAGGAGGGGCCCCCGGACCCCCTTCTCCTTCTGAGGGAAGTCCCCCGAACCCCTCTAAAAGGGGCCCCCAAATCATGATGGCCTCCTGACTTCTTTTATGCCAGCCCGCCCCTGGTTGTTCTTCATTATGTTTAGAGTTTGTAATTATCATAAAACCTTACCGGAAACCCGAAAATAATACTGTCCATTTTGCAAAAATCAACTCTTGATTTTCCTTTTATTTGTGCGTGATCTGATTTCCTTATTCAGTTACCTTGCCGAGTAGATCAAGGATCATCACGACTCACAACAACTCGAACAAACGAATCCAGAAATAAATAGATGAACTAAACGTTGAATAGAGTTATTTTTACACTTACATCCATTTTTCACGTGAAGATCATTTGTTAAGGCCATTTGAATTTCCATGAGGTTTCCTTACTAGGATCGCACTGCAAATCTCTGAATACTTCTTCCGATTGACTCGGTCTAGAAGTAACATACAGAACCTGCTTCTCACATTTTCTGTTTGAATTACTACGTTCAGGTACATACATATTTGTATCAAGAATATACAGGATATTTTCAACTCTATTTTTCAATGGAAAGTCTGTCTTAACTGCCACATAATTCATAGATTCTCTCATTTTAAATCATTACCGGTATTATCTTCTTAGGTGTAGAAAACACACCCAACAATAAGAGATTTTCGTATTCAGGAAAGTAGTTCGACTTTTCATTTGGGAGGGGGGGGGGGATTGCCAATCCATCGAAAATTCCCGCCTTAATTTACTTTTCAAGAATAACTTAACCAGTCATCTTTTTTGCTTGAATTTTTTTTTGCCTATTAATAATATTTACAGAAAATATTATACAAAAACTTCGGGTGGTATTCTCTTAAGAAATGAAGTACAAACAAGGACTGAACAATCGAGGTGTGTGGTTTATGGTTTCGTCGTTTCACACCTCGAAATTCTATAAAATTTTATTCAGGGAAATTGATGTAGTTGGTTCTACAATGCTCGTGCTTAGTGTGAGACTGTAAAAGAACAGAAAATTGAGAAAACTTAGAGATAATCAAACTCATTGACTACATATACTGGGAAAATATGCGTGATGAAAAGCGGTTTAACTCACACTGAAAAAATCCGCCTACACCGAGAACCATTAAAAATTACACCGAGAAGTTGACGCATTAAAACTCACGGCTCATTGGAAAAATAATTACCTTCCTGCGAGTGTTTGCAGCCCAAGTACATACTTCGAGCCAAATTATTGGTCACCTTTTTGATCAATTAAAGTTTACGACCGACATCAACGAACTATAACAAGGGCATAAAAATGTGAAATCCCAGGAAAATTCCGCGCAAAATCATAGCCGTCACCAAACTACCAGTTTTCTGGAATCATAAAAGGAGGTCATCTTGTACATCTGAGGGAGGATAAAATACCTTTGTAGTGCGGCTATTCCTTAACCAAAATTCCTCATTTTTTCCTGACCGGACCATGCCTCTGTCAGTAGCCCGATAATTTATAAGTACCTATATTACACGACAGGTGACAAAGTAATTAATTGCTCTCGCGATTAATTTTCTAATAATATATTTTCTGAAAATTTTCTAAGACGGTGTTCCTTGAAAGTATTATTGAAGTATTTTCTTGAATTTTCCTGGCTCTGCACAGGAAAACGGAATGGATGCTTTTTCCTGCTTTTTGTGTGTATTTCTTATTTATTCATGTGTATTCTCAATATTACAATTTCCTATTTTTAGGTGCGAGTGAACGTGAACAATAGAAGTAAAGCGTTTCATCCTTCGTATAAAATATAATATAATTATGCTTACGATGTTTCTGTAACTTAGTTGCTTATTTGTCTATCACTGAAAGCTTTACTGTCAATTTATTGTCCGTGAATAGACGCTTTGACCGTTTCTTAAGTTTTCTAAGACAGTAATTTGACAGTGACTGAAGTTAATTTTCAGTCAAGTCAGATGAAAACTTGTCACTTTGCCGCCAAAGGGGTGTAAATTCAAGATGAAGTGAATTATATCGTCGATGATACCATCACCATGTTTTAGCAAGAACATTGAACAGCCCCGAAATCTATCGTAATGTCAAATTTTTAAATGTGACAAAAATGAAGGTGAACTGAGGAGCTCGGAGGACAAGGCGCATAAGTGCAGTTTTTGGAAAAATTGAGATATTAATGATTTCGAGTAAAATTAGTCTTTCTTAATGCATATTCCGCGGAAAATTCGCTCCCAAATTCCAATTTTTAAGCATCAAAAAGTCAGGTTGAACTTTCTTTTCACCATAAGGGTCCATATAATTTCGAAACTTCAGACAAGTATTTCTCGAAGTAGCAAAAATTGCACTTATATGCGTCTTGTCCTCCAAATCCCTTAAATTCGTATTCTGAAAGATGTCTTAGATTCTAGCATTAAAAAGACTTTATTAACAAATACTAAAATGTGACTTACCTATTCTCCGGGTTAGATCCAACCTTTGGGGTGCTTTAAACCTGTGTTTCTCTCATCAGGAACGAGCAGGGGAGCATGGAAAATTCATTGGCGCTGTACAATTCTTACTGAATTCTTCGTGAAAAACATAGAATTTTGTTCTTGCATAATAGGAGGGGGTTGATCTCAGTCCTCCAAGCAAAGCATTCTCCGAATATTTTGAATAAGTACATGAATTTGATTTTTGTTCCTACAGAGCACATGGCGTGAGAACGTAAAAGTCGGAGCGAAAGTCTGAAGACCTCACGCGACTTTAAGGTCAATATTTCAGCTTTAGTTATTCTTTCGATGAACGTTAAATTCACTTTTTTGGGCACAAAACAGTCTCTGTTGAGGCCAGGGGGACTTTGAATCACAATCAATCGGTAGCAAGCACAGGAACAAACGAAATTTTCGAAATATTCGTAATTGAATCTCTCAGTTTGAAAACGACTGAAGTCGGGGTTTTTTTTACGAGGTTCATTTTTTTGGAGTAGAAACGCTCCTTATCTGGCTGTTACGCAGTTTTTATGGTCTCCTGAACTGATGATCTTTTGACTGATGGATTGTTTCTAAGTTTTGCCTTTCCTCCATTAAAATATTTATTTAATTTCTTCAAGGTATGAGGTCGGAGTTTTTAATTGCACCCTGAAACCTTGTTAAGAGTTCCTCACGTGCGTTAAAATCCCCATACTCAAAAGGTATGTCACGGAGATTTCAAATCCAAAAATGTTCAATAGCGTCTTGATACTTTTACCGCAGGCTACTCGGTCTATGCCTTCATCGCTGCCGTGATAGCGAAGAGAGCCGTAACTGCATTTTTGTATGAGCCATGGTTAGTACATACTCTTATGTGTCTCGAGTCTCATCTCAGTCTCCACTTACGGCTCTCTTCCTTAACACGGCAGATTGGATCCAGTTTAAGAAAAACGCACCACGTCGTGCTAAGTTAGAACCAAAAAAGAAGGGTTCGAAGCTTTAGTCTTCCTTCAGACCCAATGCAATGTTCAGGAAAAAGTTTGACGACTTATTTCAAGTTCGACATAAGTTTTTTTAGCTTTAAATTTTTTACAGGAGGAAGTAATTTACGCCCAGCTGCATTCAAAACTACTAACTCACGAATTGGTGCATTGCTGATGAACTCAGTCCAATTGATTGAATGTAGCGCATAGATTCGCTAAAGTCGCAATCTTCTGAAGTTGCATGGTCGGAAAATGTTGGCCAGGTACGTTTTCTGTCCTCTTAATTTTCTGTCTCTATAAACTTTACTTAGCTCCCTAAGTTTCATGAGTCAACCGCTAAATTAATGTTAATGATATAGAAATCGTGTTTTCTGGAGAGTTACTTTCACTTATATTCAGTAATCTCATGCGGTATCGATTATCGATGGCGAAATTGCAAAAATGAGTTTCTCGGTTCACGGCATTGCAGACTTTCTGTCACACTTAATTGTCTCCATTGATAACTGCTAATCGTAATTTTTTAAAAATGTCAGTGATATTTTTTTTTTCATAGAGAATATTTATAAGGAAACTTCAAGCCATGATGTTGGTTTGGTATAATTTCAAGAATAAAATGGGACTGGAGATTTCGAAATACGTACTGCAACCGAGATACATATTTATGCAATTTCACCTTCGATATTTGCCTTAAATAGGTGCTGATCTCACCATGAAAATTTTTTCGTTGTAATTTTCTGCAAAAATAATTGATTTTGATAAGCCATTGGGAAATATAATTTAATTGAATATTTGCAAACCGAACTATAGGTTTGAGATTTTATCAATTTTTTTTTCTTCTTCGATAGCTGTAAAAACTTTGGCTCACGACATCGCTACCAAATTCTACGAAAATGATTAAATTTTAAGTTTCATTGTATGCTTTGGAGTTTTCAAACTGAATAGTAAACTGAAAAAATTTGCAGCGAAAATTCTCAGATTTTAAAGGCGAATAACCCTGAAAACAGGGGAAAGATGTAGAAGGATATAATGGACTTTTCTTTAACTCCTTTCAATTCTTTAAAATTTCAAAAGATAAGGACAGAGAAACTGTCCTGAATGAATTCATCAGTGTAAAATCTTAGATTTTTGAGCTAAAACCCTGAAAGAGGGTAAGAAATCAATGGACTCTGAGAATAATAATTTTGATAAGATGTAAATTCTTTCAAAGTAAAATTAATCTTTTGCATTGTGTTCGGCTATGATTATAAGTATTATTTAGCTTGAGTAGTAAATGCAATAGATAACCCTTTTAATTGCGGAGTGATATTTGGATATTTGTTAATTTTCAGATTTTCAAAAATGAATCTATTCTTACTCTCATACTATGAGGCAGAATTGATGCTTTTGATGTGAGAAGGATTGGTAAATTGAAAATAACGAAAAATGCATGTTATAATTCATTTTTTAATATATTTTACATTATTTCAGACAAAAAGAAAGAAATATTCATACTTGTCAATACACATGAAGTTTTTAACACGGACAACCTACCGAAAAAATATTCATTCCAATTTTAGTTAACATTTATATATGTATATGTGTAATTTTGTTAAACTCGAGATTTTGGACTTAAAGAAAATGAAGGCAACAGTTTCACAGAGCTGTCCCCTGTAGATGGATTGAAAAAAACGGTAGATACGAAACAAGAGAGTCTTGAATGAAAAGAGGTTGAAAAAAAGAAACAAATAAAATGCTCTGCAACAAGTAGTGCATGTTCAGCATAATACATTATTACTAAAAATTATCACGGGGCTTAACAATTTAGGACTCATAGAATACTTTCACTGAACAACTAAAATCAATCATACAGAGAGGGATGAAATTGAAAGATGTAAAAACATGGAAGTAAAATCATTCCGAGTCAAAAGAGTGTCGAGTAGATTTTAAAAAGTTGATAATTTGTTTTTTCCTCCTAATATATGTTTTCATGTATAAGTGTAAAGGGTTTTGGTTTAATAATCTTTTTTACATAATTTTCACAACAAATGTGATGACAAAACGGACAGTAAGAAAATCTACACATTGTGAGAGCATTAATTAAATGCACCTTTTAGGTTACCAGTTTTGGGATGTGGCAAAAAGGGATATTTCTGAACTGAACAGCTCTGCAGTAATTTTGATTCAGACATGCATATGTTTCGTAGATAGTTCTGAATTAATGAGAAATTTCATCAATACATGGAAATTGGATCAAAACCTAAAAGGTGCATTTATAATAAGCTTCATAAATTAGACAGCATCTGCAATACTATTGTAAAAAACGCAGTTTTTTCGCATTGAACAGCACTTTGTAACTTTTGAAATGACATATGACTGACACAAGAAGGAGATGTTATCGATGAAATTTTTATATAAGTTGAGACAGAAAAATGGACTATCACGATTTCTTCCAAAAACTTTGTTTTTTCCCACCGCAATCAGGAACTTTATTGAAGTTAAAGTTTTTTATTAATTAAAAAAAAGAAAATAAATTGGCAAGTTATACAAAAAATACTTTAAAGGAACGAAACAGCGTGTTAAATGGTAACTAAAAGAATCAAACAGTGTCAAATATTCCTAAAATGAAACTTTACGAGGTAATTCACACCTCGTCCTTGGTTCAAGGATTTTTCGAGTTTTAAGTTGTATGATTCCTTATAAAACAAAGTGATTGGAAGATGCTGAAAATAGGTATTATTAGTAGAGGTAAATTATGTAGGGTATATACACACATATACATGCATACACACACACTCACGAGAATATAAATGGTAAATAAAATTGAGAACTAAAATTGGTTATGAAAGGTCAACGACTGGATGAATTATTGAGAAAAGAGGACAAAATTGTCCTGAAATTGTTTCCATCAATCAATTAACAAGTAGGTATGATTTTGAACTATACATAAAAATAATTAAGTCTTCATTACTTGACATTTTTATTTCATTTTAAATATAAATTGCAACTCAATTTATACACATTGTACTTAAATAACTATCTTCCTTTCTTTAATTTCAGTCAGTCTCATGTCCTTAATTAAACAAACTAAGTTACATAACAATAAAGCTAATGCAAATACGTACAATAACTATGAAAGAAAATGAAGAAAACAAAGAGATGAAAATTGAAGGAGTTGTTTTCTTGTTCACATAAATATTTTTTTTGTCTGTTTTTCTTTTTTTTAAAATGATTTTTTCAATAATACACAAAGGGGTTTTCAAACATATTTACAACAACAACAACAAATGGTTTAACTACAGGTATCAATTTTTCCACTATTTTAAAATTTTGTTTTCAACTTATCCTTTATTTTTAAAATAAAGCAAATTGAAAAACAAAATAATAAATAATTATAAATAAATTTTTTACAGGACTATTTTTCTTAATTATTTCATTATTACAATCAGTGCGTTTTGATGCTCCCATTTGATTGAATAAATTTCTAGGAAATTTACTTCAATGAATATTTACAAAAAAAAAAAAAATTGGTAATTTTGAATTAATTTTTGCAATGGACAAGAAACAGCCAAACACAATCATAATTGGAGGATATTTTATATCCTCTTCGAAAGGAGGGAAGGATAATCATATTACACACAAATAACTATTTTATGACTAACTGGGTTTGCACCCACAATGATCTTAATTAACGACTTTCAAATGGTTTTTTACAAGGAAAGAAATGAACACGGAATTTGGGATTCCTGTTCTTCAGATGAAAGAGAAAGTCAGATGGCTGCATCAAATCCGGTATCATTTTAGAAAGAAAATGTATGTACATGAAAGTTCATTTTTGAATTTCAAATGCTGAAACAGCATGGAGAGAGAATTGAAAGTATTTGGAGACTAATGTCAATAGTAATTGAACGAGAGGTTTAGGGTGCTTGAAGCAAGATTGAGGAAAATTTCAAAGGCAAGGAAAATGTCGATAATTATCAACTATTTTCAGACCAGGAGGTGGTTATTCAATTTTGTTTCGATTACAGGACAGTATCGATAGTTCTTTATATCATCATGCCATTTGTAATATAATTTTCTTCCCCTCTCCAAATAATCAAAATCGATGCAAAAAGAGACCTTCATATTTGGTAATAAATTAGGATAATTAATTTTGGTGGCACACTTACTCTCACACAAACACACATACACAAACATACTAAACGCAACAATTACCACATACTTAAAAACTAAACTTTATACAAATAATGTACAGTGTTGCAAATTGGTCCTGAAAAACGTATTTTTAAGTTAAAATTTCATTCTGGTTGTCTTGCTTCACTAAAGCTATCCTTTAGTTACAATCCAGTTGTTACTTCATTTATATCATCACTTTAGTTTAATTGGAGATTTTAAATTCAATGTACATCTTAAAATTATTAATTTTCCTACATACGTTTTTCAATCGAGATCGAAAGCAACTTTATAAATTATACATAATCAAAATTAGTTCATGATTTGTACCCACTTATTCATTGAATTTGAAACTGAAAAGTTCATGTTCTTTAACAACAGTTAACTTTCCTCGTTTTAATTCATTTTTAATATACATGCCATGATGGGCTTTGTACTATCATACAAACACAATTTAGAAAACGATTACACATGTAAATCAATTATTCATGATACATGAAAAAATAAAGTAAAAGAGATTGATTTCAAGGGAAATGCAGAGAAAAATACCAATCAACAACAAAATCATGATTTAAAATTGATAATATTTTAACCATGAATAAATAAAACTGATATGAATGAGTTTCTGTATTTAACTCTGCGAACTTCTAGATATGTCAATACAGTGTTACTTTGAGCATAAGTACCACATGTATTCTTCACAGCAAACCAAGGAAGTTAAAAGTCATACAGATTTAGCGCCTAGGCTTCCATCTTTACAATTTTGTGCGAATTAGCAGATGGAGGTCGAGGGGATGACGGAGGAGTTTTCTTTGATAAATTTAAGGGTTGCTGAGAGTTAGCAATTCCAACTTGCAACTCAACAACGTTACTTGGGGTAGGAGATGCTGCTGGACTTGACATCCGCAACAAGGAAGGTGACGTTGAGGATGGAGAAATGGGTGCTGACACAGACTGAGGATGTAAATGTCGTTGAGATACAGAAGAATGTTCTATACTGGGTAAGGAAGATGCTGAGGACAGAAGATGATTGTATGATGGTGATAAGGAGGAAGGAGTTGAACCACGATTTGTTGTTGTAATTACACTTGTGTTGTTACTACTACCCCATCTACTTTGATGTGGAATGTTGTATACATTAAAATTAGCACTAGGAGCTTCACCTCGCATGATGAAGTTATGAATGATATCTGTCCTTTTTAGCTGCTCAGGTGTCATTCTTGGCCCCTCCATGAGGGACTTCGCTAAGGTTGAGTGAGTTGATGACAATAGTGACGACGATGAAGAAGATGTAGTTAGATGATGGTGTAGCTGTGATGATTGGTTTTCACTTGGATGAGAGTGACCATTTATAATGATCATGGGCTCAGCTTCTGCTGAATCTCTTGCACCATTACATACATTGTTCCTTAGAGCACGGAATTTCTTGTGAGGTTTGTAAGCTTCATCCATTAATGAGTTGGTATCATACAAAGGAGGAGCTTGCAAGACTCTCTTTAAAACGGGCATATCCTCTACGATATGATTATGGTTCTGTTGATGATGGTGATGGTGATCATCTTCTAACGATGATCTAGGACTTGAACAGACGGACGTAGGAGCACTATTCGTTAATTTATCTATTTTTTCCGTGCCGGATTCGATTCCTGAGTCACTAGGAGAATCTAATTTTCGGAAAGAAGTTCGGTTATTGCTACTATTTACATTGTTACTTACATTACTACTGTTAATGATGTTGACGGATTTGATGGTTAAAATGGTAGATTTGTCATCTTCTCCGGAGGTTGATCCGGAGTTCGCTCTATGCCTATGAGGACAGATATTACCAGCTAAGGTTGCGGCTAACAGAGGAGCGTTGGCTGCATGTTGGCTTGTTACATTATGGTGAGGATAGTCGTTCATCTCTCCGGAGCACATGGATTCTGTGCTGGAGACAGAGCCTAGTGGACTCTTCACTTCGTCCATTGTGACGTCACTGGAGGAGGACCACGAGGATGAGCCTACGGGGCTTTTGCTGCAGTTCTCTTCCTCCGTAATGGAAATTCCCCACAGTTGCTGCTGTGCTTGTTGCTGTTGCTGCTGCTGCTGCAACTGCTGCTGTTGTTCAGTCATTTTAAATGCTAATAACTTTTCTGAATGTAACGTATTTAAAGTTCGGAGATCAGCGATTTTCTTCATTAGTTCGTGGTACAAATTACCTGTTTGCATTGTCGAGTGATTTTGATTGACTACTATTTGTAATGCCATCTTCAATTTATTTTGCATTCTTTCTATCAGTTCGACGTTTCTCAATCCTGGTCGATCTGAAACAGAAAAAAAAACACCCTTTGATTAGATTTTGATCTTGATGACAAAAAGGAAGACATGTGGTACAAGAGGTGGAATTCAGAAGCCATCAGCGTAAATACGTATTTACTGGTATAAGAGTCCCTACTCCCCCCCATTTAAAATACTTCGCATGAGGGACTGAAAGAAAATCTTCGGTATAAATTTGATTGAACTTCTTAAGAAAAGGGTAAATTCTTAGTTTAGGGGCTTTTCGCACTTGAGATAAAAATAATTAAGGAATTGAAAGGCAAAGAAGATTAAGATGGAAAATATTGCGAAGAAAAAATGTAAACTTACCAGGAGCAATAACGACGATGGAGCTAAATAGACCGATTTCAGCATCAGACAAGTGTAAGGAATTTAGTCTTTCAGCAAAATCGAACATACTATTCATAAGAAACCGCGCATTAGGACTGTTGTGGACAGATTCTCTTCTTAGGACTTGTCCATTTAGGCAAATCATACTGTTATTCTGTAACAGAAAATAAAACAACACAATTAGCATCAATTGAAAAAATGAATTGTATTTGACTTCTTTGGACGACAGGTGATAAAAATGCAATAATTTGGAAAGCCAGTTTAAAATTGAATTCAGATGAGAAAATTGTTGAAAAGCACGTGATAAAAAGGTACTGGTAAAACATTGAGTAGGCTTGCATTTCGAATTTTCTTTTGTAATATTTCTCGTGTTTTCTCAATGTTTTTACTATTCGTCGATTTTTGGATGGAATTTATAGATATTTAATAGTATGAAAAAGACAGGAACAAAAAAGAAAAAGAAATTTCAATTTACCTGAGCATTAAACATACAAGCGAGGCGAACGAGTAAAACCTCGAAGACGCCTGCTTTGAGGAGTGTGACTTGGTCATCTTGAGGTAGCAAAGCAAATCCGGGTATTCTTTTGGCAAACTCTACGACACCTCTGATGGCAGGTGAGAATCTTTTGGAGAAGTCCTGAAGAAGTTCTTGCTGACCAGTCAAAGGTTGAGGATTAGGATTTAGCGGACATGCCTGAAACAAACAAAAACTCGAAACCGTCAAGAAAAGGAATTTCAAAACATTCTAAAAACAAACAGCTACAAGTCAAACAGCGTTGACAGTCGAAAATTATCCACTGCAATGAGCAATGAACCACGTGGCTTGTCGGCGGTGTCCTGACGCGAATCGTTCGAGCCGGAGCGCTTCACCTTGAATATGATTTCCTCTCCAAGAGCAAGGTCGACAGGTTTATTGGGACCTTCTCAGACGGCTCAGAGGTGAACGCTGAGGGATTCTCATGCCACCCGCACGGGCCCGGGGGCCCATAACATTGTTCACGCACCTTGCGGGCTGCATTGACCCCATGTCTAGACTACGGCACGCCAATTAATCCCCCTCCCCCCGTGTAACCTCCTCCTCCCACCGCCTACCCAAGAGTCCCTCGCCGATCCAATAGGCCCTCCGTTCCACTTAGCCCCGAGGGCTGGCTAATACTCTCTGACGCTTGTCTCTATCTTTCGAACAGAGCAATCGATTCAGTTGGCGTAGAATTAGATGCTCTAATACATGCTCGTTTCGGATAAGTAATCAGAATGATGATACGAATTAAAGTATGGTAAAAATACCGCAGATACGAGAATAAACCCATTAACTTTGTGTGCTTCTATTGAAATCGAAACTGTGATGCTGCTAAAGAAGCGTATTGATGATGTGGGTGGTGAACAAGATTGTGAGGGTAGGGATAAAAGAAAAACCCGAGGAAAATTGTTCGAAAATAATATTTAAATTACCAGGGAATCGTAAAAAAGTACTATTCATTTCTCTATTTCTTACTTGAATAGAATGCAGACATGTTAAAAGGCGTTAATCGGATTTTTTTTTAATTTTCCCCCTTTTTTCTTCTTTTTCGGTACACGATCTTACAGGATTTTATTCGTCTCATTCAAAATAATGATAATCCCTAAAACTCAGTAAAAGCCTTGTCAAATAAGCCAATTCCCAAAGCGAAAGAAGAAAAAACTAATACGACTTGGCAACGTTTAAAATAAAATGACTCCTTTGGCAACACTGAAATGGACTGGTAAACTTTTATTCTCTTTTTACCTTTTTTTTCAGAATTCAAAAGCATGTATAAATATGCATGCAGAGATACAATACTGACTCTACCGATTTATTTTTTTGGGATTTACTTCCCTATAATTTGTCCCCACGACCAAAAAAGCTCCCCACATAATAGTTGTTTACACTCCCCCTCCCCCGTCTTTCCGATTCCAAATGAACACCTAAAATTAATTTTTCTTCCTAACAGAGGGATATTCTTAATTCAATTAAAGTTTGACAGAACGAACCTCAGCGTGTACGTGAGAAGGCACCTTATATCACTCACACACACATACACTACGTTCACGCGCGCACTTGGACGGAAGCGGACCTGACCGGGCTTTCCGGACACGGGATCGGCGACACAACCGAGGGGAAAACTACGCGAAAAAAACTGAAAAAACCAAGAAAAAGGGACTCGAAGGAGGGAAAACGCCGAGCAGACGTGTATCGGGGAAGCGACGGCGGAGCACTGACTACTGCATAGCCGCGGATGACAATGGCCAAGGCTTCCTCGATATTCCTCGATAATCGCCGAGTTCGAGACTTGGAGCCGCGAGCAGGGGGAGCCGGCGCGGGCGAATATCGCACGGATCGCGGCGAGCGGGCTGAAAAATGGTAACTTGAAGAATTAGGGCAAGGTGAATCATCGAGCAATTTGAGTTGAGCTGGGTGTCAAGGGCTCGCGGCGCGCGGCGGCGGCGCGGCTCGGCGTCCCGACGCCGCGCCGAGCGTCGACACACCGACTTGAATCGATCGAAGCTAACCTTGCAACGCCGAGCCGAGGTCGTTCTTTTCTTTCCTGAATCGCGTAAGTGAATCCGGCCGCGGTTGCATTGCCGCGCTTTTCTGCTACCGTTTTCACATACCCACACTCGGCTCGGCTCTTCCGCCAACCTAACCTCACGCATCTCGACCGCGACCTCCTCGAAAAACGCCGACGGCCGCGAAAAACAATCGAGTGGCGTGGCGTGAATTGCGATACATCGATTGTTAAGCCATTTAAACCTATGGTAAAGAATCGATTATTAAAGTGTTTGCTGCGAACACCCTGTTTATCGATCCTTTTCCATAGGTTTAAATGGCATAACATCGATATATCGCAAAGCACGCCACGCCACTGGAGTGGGACGGACCCGCGGATCGAGCTGGGATCCCACCGGATTTCCGCAAACTGCACTCGTAACTCGGTCACTCCACTCCTCACCTTTCTCGTCGATGAGTTTATTGAGGTTAAGTGTAAGGCTAAGGTTACACCCTTAACCTTCCTAACCTTAGAGGCCGTCCGTTAGTGACGTCAAGGACCATGAGGAGGGGAAACTACATAAAAATTGTTTTCAAAAGATGGTGGGAGGGATAAATGGTACCTGACACACTGCCGAGCTAAGGCAGAAAGCCGTACGGGCCTTCAGATGTTGCAAACTTTCATTCGACAAATCCCGGATTTTCTTGAAAATTTGTGAAAATTTTTCTTTTGATTTTTCAGGGAATTTTGTTCGTAATTTGATCTGAAGTGTCCGAAAATTTCAAGGAAAAATAGACTTATCTTTCTGCAAAAATAGATATTTTCTAAGAGGGAATTCGGCGACATTCGAATGTTCTTGCGGCGTTTTTCTTTAGCACAGCAGCAAAAGGGAAGGAAGAGTACAAATATTTGTATTCCAAGAGAGGAGAAAAATTACTGACTGCGCGCATGCATGAGAAAATTTGAAGTAAATTGTCCGGAGAGAAGGATGCTCAAACAAACGTACGAACAAATTTGTCTGAAGAGGGAGAGAAAATTAGAGACTGAATTGAGTTTTGCGAGCGGGCGGGCGGGCGAACGAACGAAATGGCCGGGCGCGAAGGAGAGCAAACGCATGAATGGCCGAACGAGAGAAAACAAAAGTAAAATCGAGGGAAATAGAAAGTAATGAACTCATTGAGAGCCGGAGAGCAGCGACTCTCACTGCGACCAAATTTTTACCACTGCCCATTTGTCACAAGCGTAGCTTTCTATAGGCGCTGCATTATTTCCATCGATTTATCACGCCCCACACGATTCGCTGCTCTGGACATTTTCCTAAAAATGCGACGCGTTAGGAGGAAATTCGCTGTGACTCGTCGCGATAATCGGCGCTTAACACGAGGGAAAGGGGGCACAAAACCGAAGTAAAGTGAAGGAAAAGCGAAGTAAAAGTGCGTTGCGAGCGGAAGGCGCTGTGAGATAACTATTCGTGCTCTCCGGTGCGTTTTTGGCCTATACTTTGAAAATGAAGGCGCGTCGGAAAGACAGAAAGAGAGGTGTTTGTCGTGGCATTCGTTTCTTGTTTCCCACGCTGTCTTTCCAGATTTCTCTTGACACAAACATATTCCCTGATAAGTCTAGATTCTTTTCTGATTACCAAAAATAAGAATTTTAAATTTGGTGCTTAAATTTTTTCGTTACCTCTTTGTATTTTTATTAATTGCGGCTTTCAACTAAAGAATTTATCAATTTTTATTTTTATGACACCATAAAAGTGTGAGTAATTTTATTTATCTCTTTATTTTGCTTATTAATGCTTTGGGACTGGTCTACTATGTTTTCTCTTTTGGTTGCTGGGCGGGGAAAAGGGCAACTCCGACATTTTTAAAAAAAATTGCTAAAAATGGACCAAGACCCAACAATCCTTGAAAGAAGACCTTTAAGATGCCCTTTCGAAAAAAATGCTCCGAAATTAAAGAGGATACTATAATAAAATGTAAACTCACCAGAGTGGGAGGACAGGCGGTGTACTCGGGGTCGTCGCGCGCCCTCTGGAGGAGAGGCGCCACCTTTTCCCGGGTGAACTCGCACGTGTCCAGGTGGGCGGTGACGACCGTGTTGAGGAGGCGCTGCTCGTCTTCCAGCTCGGCGGCGACGGCTTTTTCCTGCGACCGCGAGTTGGTCGACTGCTGCATCGCCGCCAGGATCCGCGCCTTCTCCCGCTTCGGCACGCGACCAAACCGGACAGCTGCAACACACAAAAATAAACAACGACGTCAGAAAAACACGCAAGGAAACACAACACAAAAAGCATTACAAAATATTCAATTTTCTATGAGCATGAAAAGAACAGTTAGGGAGCGGAAGAGTGCTAGGAGGAAAACCCTCAAGGCGCAGTGAGACAACTATTCGTGCTTTCCGGTGCGATTTTGGCCTATACTCCTAAATTGAAGGCGAACCGGAGTGACAGGGTCTGGCATCCCGCATCCTGCGTCGCGAACGCAAGGCGCTTTGAGATAACTATTAGTGCTCTCCGGTGCGTTTTTGGCCTATACTCTGGAAATGAAGGCGCTTCCAAAAAACGGAGAGAGAAGTGTATTTCGTTATTCAAAATCGTTTAAGTTCTGATAAACACGAGAGCTTGAAATTACCTTGAATTATTTCCCAGCGTTACACTTTTATGATGTGATGATATCCAATTAAATCATTACAATAAGGTCCCCGATTTGGATTTGTCTTTCAGTACGGCTTCATAAAGAATATTAAAATGGTATTGAGACCAATATTTAGTTTTCTTGAGACTACTCTTCGGAAAACTGTCAGGACTAGGTTGGTTTCTGTTCAGGGCCATGGGTATAATTCAGAGCGTTTAAAACGCTTTTCAACCGCGTTTTTCGTTGCATTACTCGTCGTAAAGTAACGTTTAACCGCGTGGGCATCGCTTAATTAGACTGTATCCGTTGATGACACGGAATTTTCGAATCGCTGCCAAAATCAATAACCGGCGCAAACAAAGCGGAGCCTCGTTGCATTATTCCCAGCGGTTAACCCCAAGTTTATAGCGTCCCCCACGGGGACCAGGGGGCGCTGCGACCCGAGTCGATACACGCGGCCGCGGAGGCTGTAAACAATATTCGCGCAATCGTTTCTCGATAAGGTCTAAAAATACGCGCCAGAAGTTTAATGCCATAATTGACCTTCGATTAGAGCAAACACTCGGGGGAGTACGCGGCTTTCAAAACGGCCCTGTTATTTTCGATCGAAAAGAAACGCGATGCCTGCCTCCAACAATCATCGACAGGCCTACTCGAGCCAGAGAAAAAGTTCCGATTGAATATTCTCCGTGCAGAGGTTCTCTCCAGACGCGACTATAAATACCGGATATGTAACCTCGCTGGGGGGAAAACGATTGCAATGACCTAATACGCGCTTTTAAGGACGGCTCTACTGCCAAATTTTAATTTCTGCTCCAGAGACCAGACTCCCGCCGCACGGAACGAATCGGATATAATTGGGAGCTTTTACGTACCGCATCGAGATCGACAGAAAGTTTCGTCTCACCGAGTTTTCTCTTCGGTGGAATTAAACACCGCTGCGGAGAGAAAGGAGGGCTCCCCAAGTACCAGCGTTTTAGTTAGCAGCTAAACACTTGCTAGTCATCTTCCCCTCCTCCTCCTACTCCTCCACGCGAAAAAAAACATCCATTTCAAAAACAAAAAAAATTCGCTCTGCCTTTTACTCAAGGGGCAAATCCACGCAATATCCTTAATGTAGTGGAGAAACAAAAATTGCCGAAATTATTACCCAAAATAAAAGGATAGCTACTGCGGATGTTATGGATATAAATCGGAGTTAGAAGGATGTAAGTTTTATGATTAAAAAAATCGGATGGACCGATGAGATTTTGGATGATTCCCTCTCTTCGTTTCATGGGGAAGCTTCAGGCCGCAGCTGAAGATACTAACCACACAAAATTAGATGTCAACCAGCGCTACCGATCCCCATCTATGCGATTGCATTTTCTCGGAACGGACCCGAAATGGGGGAGAAATAAGGACAATCGCGGGACGAGAGGTGGCTCCCGCGGGAGTTGTAAGGACAACAGGAGCATTCAAGAGGCTGATTCGAATTGACTGGTGCATTCACGGTCTGGTTGGGGATTAGGATTACGAGGAGGACCTCTGTCTGCCGGCGGCGGGGGGGAGGGGGGGGGTCCCAGGCGTTGGGCAACGGGCAATATCCGGACTGGACACTTCAAGGACGCACCCGAAAAGAGGATCCGGTTGCATCAGCCACCTCAAGGCTGCACGAAAGCGATCGGGGAGCCTCTCAGGGTCTTCCAGCTTTCTTCTTCTTCGCCAGGGGCCACCTGGGCGCGCGCTGCACCGCGACGACTGCTATTTATCGCGCTTCTTCGTCGTTGAAAAATTGGAGCAATGCGAGTTGGAATCTCCTTTCGGTTGCTAGAATCGAGGGGGCTCCGCAGAGACGAGAATTTAGCCCGTGTAGCTGAATTTTTGTCCTGCCCGTTCAAAAAATTCGGACGAAACTCTTGCATCTACCTTTTTCTCCCTCACCCAACAATAGAGGGAAGATTTCTAGACGTTCTGAATCGTTGCAAACTCGTAATTTCTGACGAAATTTCAAAATTTCTGCAAGATGTTTTCTAATATAAGAGATTTATGTCAAAAAAGAGGGGGTTGTATTAAACTATAAGGTAACTTTTGTCCGCCATAGTGTTTTTTTGAGGGGGAATGGATTGATGCATTCTGACAACTGAGAGAAACTCACGAAATATTTCCAGGGCGTGAAATCTACCGATCGCGAACCAAAGCAGAGCCCTTTCCGTATCCTCGACCCAAGACTCCGGTCCGAACATGGACCACGGCTCGGTCGTGTCGTCTTAAGAAGGTCAAAAACGAGATCTGCACCCACGAGGGAGCGACGCGGGCGGAGGCGGAGGGCGCGTGGAGGGGGGCGGCTGGAAGAAAGTGAAACGGCCGGCATGGAAAGTAAAGTTAAAGACGAAAGAGATAGTTCTGCCGATTGTTATTTTTATTATTTTAGTAGGTCATGTCATGCGGCCGCTCGCTCGCTCGCTCTGCGTTCGTGGAGAAAGGACCGCGCCGCGACCAGGTGTCGAGGCTCGGGCGCGCATTTCGCTTTCACTCGTCCTCCGCGTTGCCGGGTGGATCCCGACCTCCCATGCAAGTTGGCAACACTGTTTTTCGTCCATTTGGATCCATGGTAATAATCGATTTTGGACAAGACAGCTGGGTTCGAGAGATTTTAATGCATTCAAATGGAAGAAAGGCGGTGTTGTCGACTTGCATGAGTCATGAAAGAAGGCTCATACTGTCCCTCATGCTGAATAGGACAGTATAACGGAATGATCCGTTACAAAGGCGATTTGGAAACGGTTTTCCTGCCTTACGGCGCCAAAAATGGGCAATTCGGGTATTGCATTGGATTTAAAACGAAGGATGCACGCAGCAACGAGATAGAGCAGCTGGTAAACGCGCCTGCACTGAAAAGTTATATTGTCTAATGTAAAATTGCTTAAAATCCTTGTGAAAAAAAGATTGATGAGATTTATATATCCTCGAACGTTTAAATCAGTAAGAAATGGCTGATACCTACGATATCGAATGTTTAAAATATTCAGTATTTCAACCATATTTTGCCTTGAGGAATCGCTTTATCTGGCTCATTGAAAAAAAAACAACTTAAGTGTCATTAATATCCCGATCCAAATATGTGCTTCCTACGAGCTTTTTTTAATGATTTAACTTATTTTTTACTTTTTTTTTACGCGCAGTCGTTACCGAGGGGTTCTGGCAGGAAACAGACGAGATGTACTCTTTCACATTTTTTCGTATTTTTTTCTAATTACATTCTCTCTCAGGGTTTCAAACAGATAAGATAAGTACCGGACGACCGCATGATTAAGCGGGCGCCGTTGTTATCCCCACTTCGGAGGTCAGTAACCGCGCAGGACACTTCTGAAGATAAACACTTCGACTTAAGGGTGACCTTTTGCGGGAGTGGATGCGCGCTATTTTTTTAATTTTTTTATTTTCTATTATCTTCGATAGAACTTTCAAGTGAGTGGCTCATTGCCAGAATGCTCTCGAGTGTCAAACTGTTAGATGAGCACTTCATGCACTCCAATCGAAGAGAGTCATCTAATCGAGTTCCTGAACGCGCTATTGAAAAAATCTAAGACTCATGGGGAAGTGGCACAGCGAAAATCGCAGATGCTGGGAGGAAAAGCGGAAAATCGGATGAGAATGTACAGCGAAAGTTTCAATGGCAAAGCGCGGCGAGATGGATGCAGAAAGGAAAACAAACAAGGAGGAAATGACGAGCTGCTAACAATTGCACCGAACAATCATGTGGATACTCGCTAACTGCATGCAAACGCAACGGCCTTGGATTTGCAATTTTATCGAGCGAGGCGTAAAGACGTGATCGAGAAGGGGAAAACTAATCGTGAAGCGTATGGATGCCTGTGAGATTTAAGACCATGATGTGCGATTAAAAGTGATAAAACTTTGACTTAAATTTTGTAATTTATGGCACAAAAATTTCCTTAAATGATTTCTAAGGAGTGATAATACACGTCAAAGGCACGGGCATGTAAGTGCGCAGAAGTATGAAACCAGCAACTAGAGCATGCTTTGAAGGAGAGGGAACATTTTAAGACAGAATTTGCGCAAAAAAATCGAATATTCATTTTTAATGGTCGCATTTTAGATTCGTCCCTAAAAGTTTTGCGGAGAACTTAATGATAACGTCAGTTCACCCTCAAATTAAACGTAAAAAGGGGAAGGTAACCCCTGAAATTTGTTAAGCATCTTCTACTTGAAAAAAGTTAAAAATTCAAAAGCGAGGACCTGCATTTTTAGGTAAATGTAGGTACAGCAATTTGAGGGCGAACTTTCGTGTCTTTAAATGTGGATATGAGATAAACTGAAAAAAATAATAAGAAATACGTACGGGCATTATGGTAATTAACGACACCATTTAAGATCCCTTTCAGAATGGGCAACTCCTCATCCATTTCATAAACACTTTTCAATTTTGGAGTAATTTTGAATGATTTGAAGAGAGAAACGAGAATGGAACTAGACGGAAATTGAATTTGAGAGAGAACTATTCTCAAAAGCGATAGACAAAATAAAAAACGCAGGAGAAATAAAACTGGTAAAACGACTCGAAAATCAATGTGGTGTGAGAATGAGGGAT